GAAACTGTCAAGGTCCAATCACTGGTCACCATCTAAGTCAGGGGATGGTCCTGAGTATATAACCTGACTTCTAATCGCAATTTCCCCTGCTGTAAACAAGGATATGAAGAGGCTTCCAGGAGGACAGAGAGGAATAATGCAGACGGCACAGTGACGCATCAAGTGCGATTCGTGGCTCTTTTGTTCACATTTCTCCCATTCTGCCAGTGTCACCTGTGTCATCAAACCTGCTTGGATCAGCCTTACTCTCCCTGCTCATTCGCAAAAGGACCAGACTCTTGACAACCAAACTAGTTTAATTCAAAATGAGTAAATCAGGCTCAGAGTAACAGTCTGAGAGTTTTGCCCTACGAAAAATGTGCTTGCACTTGAGTGACAGACTTTAGGCATTTCCTGAGTGGCCCCTATGTTTGTGCTCACATCTTCTGGTCAGATCAACTACATTGCCCGAGAGTGCAGTTCTGCACAGGTGGCTGCCAGAAGAGGCACTTTTACAAGGTAGAAACCAAGTGGCCTATATTATACAACTGAACAGTGAGGAAAACCTTTCTATGTTACTCCCTTTGGGTAACATACATTTACCCAAAAGTACATTTTAATCTTAGGTCTTTAAGGATCTTCATGTGCCATTCTGATTATAAGAGATATTCTGGAAACTAAATATTAATCCAGGAGAACCACTATCTATTTTTTGTTGTTTTTTTGTTAATCCTCACCCAAAAATATTTTTTCCAGTAATTTTCAGAGAGTGGAAAGGAGGGAGGAAGCGGGGGAGAGAGGGAGAGAGAAAGAGAAATATCAATGTAAGAGAGACACATCAACTGGCTGCCTGCTACATGTGCCCCAACAGGTGCCAGGGATCAAACCTGAAACCCAGGTACATGCCCTTGACTGGCAGTCCAACCTGCAACCCTGTGATGTGCAGGCCAACGCTCTAACCATGGAGCCACACGGACCAGGGCAGGAACTACTATCTTTATTGTATATGTTACTACTCATGCTCTCCACTCTGCTAGAACTCTTTATATGAAGGAAATATTAACACTGTGCAAATTGCGTAATTTTAGCTCTTTATTTTTATTTTTATTTTTGTTCTTCCAAATAAGGAAGACTGTTCAGTAAATGTCTTTAGAACTAAGGGCAGAATACATCAAGAAAAAAAAGAGAGAGGACCCAAATAAATAAATAAAAAAATTAAAGGGCAGAAATAACTGAAACCACAGAAATACAAAGAATTATAAGAAAAAACTATGAACAATTATATGCCAATAAATTGAATAATCTGGAAGAAATTGATAAATTCCTAGAAACATACAATCTTCCAAGACTGAATCAAGAAGAAACAGATAATCTGAACAGACTGATGACTCCCAACAAAAAAAAGCCCTGGACCAGATGCCTTCATAGGTGAATTTTACCAAACATTCAAGGATGAATTAACATCTGTCCTTCTCAAACTATTCAAAAAAATTCAACAGAAGGGAAGGCTCCAAGCTCATTTTACGAGGCCACCATTATCCTGAATCCAAAATCAGACAAAGATATTACAAAAAAAGGAAATTATAGGCCAATAACCCTGATGAACATACATGCAAAAATTCTCAACAAAATATTAGCAAACTAATTTTAGTAATATATTAAAAAGACCATACACCATGATCAAGTGGGATTTATTCCTGGGATGCAAGTTTAGTTCAATATCTACAAATCAATTAATGTGATACTCCACACAAACAAAACAAAGGATAAAAATCACATGGTCACCTCAATAGATGCAGAAAAAGTATTTGACAAAATCCAGCATCCATTTAGATCAAAAGCTCTCAGCTAAGTAGGAATACAGGAAACATACTTCAACGTAATAAAGGCCATATATGACAAATCCACAGCCAACATCATACTCAATGGGGAAAAGCTAAAAGCTTTTACCTTAAGATCAGGAACAAGAAAAGAATGTCCACTTTCACCACTTTTATTCAACATAGTATTGGAAGTCCTAGTCACAGTAATCAGACAAAAAAAAAAAAAAAAAAGAAAGAAAGAAATAAAAGGCATCCCAAAAAATCCAAAACACTAATTTGAAAAGATATATGCATCCCTATGCTCATTGCAGCAGTTTTTACAATGGAAAAGCCCATAGGGTGAAATACAGAATTGGATAAAGAAGATACGGTACATATATAGAAAAGGAATATTACTCAGCCATAAAAAAATAATAAAATCTTACCATTTGTGACAACATGGATGGACCTAGAGGATATTATGTTAAGTGAAATAAGTCAGAGAAACACAAATACTATGTGATTTCACTTACATGTGGAATCTGAAGAATATAATAAACAGCCCTGGCCGGTTTGGCTCAGCAGTTAGAGCGTCGGCCTGCGGTTCAGAGAAACCCGGGTTGGGTTCCTGCTAAGGGCATGTCCCTCGGTTGCAGTTTGTCTCCCCCCCCCCCCTTGGGTCGTGTGAGTGGCAACCACTCGAAGTTGTCCCTTTCATATCGATGTTTCTCTCTCTCTCTCTCTACCTCCCACTCTATCTGAACAAAAAAATGGAAAAATGTCCTCGGGTGAGGATAAAAAAAAAAAAGAATATAATTAACAAATAAAACAGAAACAGACTAATAGATACAGAGAACAAAACTGGTGGTTGCCAGATGGACGGGGAGTTGGGATTTGGGTGGAAAAGGTAAAGGAATTAAGAAGTACAAATTGGTAGTTACAAATAGTCACAGGGATGTAAAGTACTGCATAGGAAATACAGTTAAGAATATTGTAATAACTATGTATGGTGCCAGACTTACCAGGGAGATCACTTTGTAAATTATATAAACGTCTAATCACTGTGCTGTACACCTGAAACTAATATAAAATAATAATACTGAATGTCAACTGTAATTGAAAAATAAAGAAAAGTAGAAAGAAAAAAATAGGTCTGAGGCAAAGATATTTTGCAAAAGCAAATTTTAACACATTCAGGTACTCAAAATTTATGTAAAATAACTGACTACACTGAATAGTCTTAATCTTTATTGGGTTGTTCTAAGTTTCTACAAACTTAGCTGACAGTCCCCCTCTTGTTACTAATAGCGCATTTTTTATGAGAGTTATCATTAAGCCTCTTGGTTTAACTCATTAGAATTTTCTGAACATGAAATGCGTCAAATGAGGTTCACAATTAAAAACTTGGAAAACTCACAACCTACACTTGCCACAAGCAAGCACGAAAGTAAAACAGGAATATTTGTAAGCATTTACCTCAATGACAAGTTCTTAACTTAAGATGTGTCCCTTCTTTTAAAAGCAGAGGTTTTTCCAAAGAAATGCCAACACAGCAGTTCATCCAACTTTGGGAATTAAGGACAGCAAAACTGAAGTAGAGGAACAACTTTCAAGTGTCTCCCCCTTCCCGCACTGAAGGTACAAACACACGTTATTCTTGGTTGTGCCAGCTCTATTTTCTGTAGTCATATCCAACCCTTCCAAAATTCAAGTACATTCTATGGCATAAAGGAAGTAGAACTTAACAGATGTTTTTAAAGTTAATGATTCCAGCAATTCTTGGAATAACTTCCACTTAAGAAAATGTAACTAAGAGAACCTATCAAGATACTCCCCCAGTTGTTGACAGCTCAACTGTGGAAATTCCCTCCTTGTTTGCCTATTCCTGACTATGCCTGAATCCAAATTACAAAGTTTAATGACCCTGACAGAGCCCTTTTTGCCTCCAGTGAATTCAGAACTCTGTCTAAATATTCATTGGGACTCTCAATAAATGTTTATTGAATTAAAGGGGGGGGGGGGGCACTGGAAACCGAGCTCCAAAAACCAACTGCCTGCTCTCCTGACGACCCCCTCCTTCCCTCACAAGAGGAAACTGGGAGATCTGGAGCTGAGAGTCCATCCAGAACCCAGACGGTCTGACATTGGGCTCCAGAGGTGATGACAACCAGAAGGTCTGGGCAGAGGTTCCGAAATGGGGCACTGGGAAATGGGCGCTTGCCAAGACGCAATCACTCTCCCAGGGAGCGGAGCCGGATGGTAGGAAACCAAGTCATTTCTGTAGCGATCCCAAGGCCTCCTTCCTGTTTATAGGTCCCGCTCCAGGAGCTCCAACTCCCAAAGAGAAAGCAGACGTCTCAGAAATATGTCAACACATGACATAACTTGAAAAAGCTGGCTGCGCACTGGCGCGAGTTACAACTTGTCCGGCTCACACAGGAAAACCGGCTCGCTTTAATTACTTTTCTTTTCATATGCCATGACGTCCTTCCCAGGGCCCCGCAGAGATCGGGTTACTGAGAGCGAGTGGCCTCAGTGGCAGGAACCAAGCCGCGTGGGCGGCCGGCTAAAAGCAAGGACCCGGAGCCAGCGCCTGCGAAGTGACTGCGGACTCGGATTCACGACCCTCGCGGCGGCTCTTTCTCGCACAGGCTCAGGAAGAGGAAGCGTCGGACCGCCTCAGTCGACGCCGAGCTGCCTGATCGCCGGGGTCGCCGAGGGGCTCGACGCCCCGCGCCGATGCCCTCGGGTCCGCCCAGGGCGCGCCACCTTTGTCTGGGTTTCCCCAGCAGGCTGGGCGACGCCTCCACGGAGGAGGGCTCTCCCGGGTCCGGGGCGCAGACGCGGCGCCGGGGTTCCCAGCCCCTGCGCGAGCCCAGGAAGCCGGCGCGGCCGCCTGAAACCTCCCACTTCCACGGCGCGCCCGCAAGTCCCAGCGCCGCGGTCACTGGCCTGGCGCTGGGCGGGAAGCCGGAGACCCGCGCGCTGGCGGGCGGCGGCAGGGCGCAACCCGGCTCTCCTGGGCTGCACCGCGGGCGGGACGGGTCACCGTGCCCTCCGCGGGACCGCCACCCTCGCCCACGCGGTCCCTGACTACGGAGAGCAGCGGCCAACAGACCCCCGGCCAGGCGACCTCTCCTACCGGCCGCTGTCGGGGAAGTCACGACAGACAGCTGGGCAGCTGCTCACACCCACGCCTGCCCCTCGGCCCCCTCTCACCTGCCTGCACCGTGTCCGAGAGGTCGTGCCCGGGGGCCGCGGTCCTGGGAAATTCCTTCAGTTTCCTGGCGCTGAGGTTCAACCCCCCCGAGTTGGCTGCTTCCTCCAGAGCGCGTTCCAGCCCCCGGTTCAAGGGCAGGTTGAAGCCCCCGCCGCTGCCGCCGCTGCCTCCTCCAACCCCGCCGTTGGCTCCGGTTCCTCCGTGGTGCTGATGGTGGTGGTGGTGGAGGGGGTGGTGATGTGGGTGCAGAGCAGACACCGAGAGGGCAGGGACGTAAGATTGGGGTTCGCTTCCCGGCGTCGCCATCTTCTCCCGGGCCCCCACCCCCACCCCGCTCTGCCGCTCCTGCGAGGGGGCGTCACAGCTCTACCCCGGGAGGGGCAGACGGCACCAGGTGCGGAACTCCTGCCGCGCCCCAATGAAAGATGCCAGGAGAAGGGGTGGGGGATGTGGCAGGCGCGGAACGGGGGGCTGACGGAGAGGCGGCAGTGGCAGCTCGGTTTCGAAGATTTCCTGTCCCGGGGAAGCTAAGGACTGCGGCGGCGGCGGCAGGCAGCGCGCATGTGTCTCCGCCCTTCCCTGCGCCCTCCTCCCGGCCGCTCTCTCCCCTCCTCCGCCGGCTGCTCTCTCCTCCTCCTTCCCGCGAGCTGTCAGTCCAGCTCTGAGACTTCCTCCGCGGCGAGCCGCCTGGCACTTGCTGCTTAGCTGCGCTGCGCCCCGCAGTCGCGGTGCGGGGACTCGGGTGGGCCCCTGGGCGGGGGTCATTTTCCTTTAGACGCCGAATTCCTCAGACTTCCTTTTTGCTGCCCGGGGGGGAGTCGGGGACAAGAAATTTTAGGGTCTGAGAAGACAGCAACTAGACAATGGGCGGGGAATTGAAATACAGTGAGATCACGGGGAGGTGAGAGGTTATCTCAATTCTGAGCATTATTCTGGCTGTTAGACCCAGAGTTCCCCCAGAGGCGGTTTTCCACTGCGCTGTTAAGCCAACAGACAACCCCTGGCATTTGGGCTGATACAGTGAGCCAGGCACTGGTCTATGTAGTCTGCATTATCTCATTAATCCAGGAACCCCACGAGCAGAAAAAAAATGTTTTCTCCAGTCTACAGAGGAAGTTAAGAAACTTATGTAAGGTAACCCAGGCACTCAGAGGTGGAGCTGGATTTGAACTTGCAGCCCGCAGACTAGGCTGCCCTCCTGCCTGCGTACTCCCAGGCTCTACAGGAAGGACAGGTTTCCTGTGTGGTGGTAGAAAACTGCAGACCTAGAAAGGTAGGACTTTCAAAATGAGGATAGTTTTTATGATGGACAGAGTACACTGCCACATGTGGGAGAGGGGCTGCCTAAGGCTTACTGAGCCCCAGAATTGGGTGGTACAGGCAGAGGTTAGAAAGCCAGTGATCCCAGCAAGCCAACAATTCAATTAAGGGTTGAGTCTGTGCACAGGTACATTACTGTTATGACACTCCTTTTCCTTGCCCCTGTGGGGCATGGAACCTGACAAGTCAGCTTTCAAACAAATTCGTGTTTGCTCAGATCAAGGCTGGCACACCAGATGCAATAGAATATCTGATACCATAAGGACACACCAGGCCCCAATTCCTTTCCCAAGTTTCAGCTCCAACTCTCTAGGGTAGTGATTTTCAACCCATGTGCCCTAAAAAATTTTAAAACATGCAATGCCTGACTATTTAGTTAGGGGCACGTTTTCCTTAGGTTGTCAAAAAAAAAAAAAAGTGACAACAGCCAACCTAACCATAGCTGTCTAGTGTGAATGAATCAAAATTATACCTATTTTGTTTGTCAGATGGAAAAAAAATACTTTTAGGTGTACCTCAGAATTTTAGTAATTAGTTTATGTGTGCCATGAAATGAAAAAGATTGAAAAATTGCTGCCCTAAGACCTTTATTTTTTCTCTATACCCAAAACTTGACCTTCACTGTAAGCAACTTGACTGGTGGAAATGAAGATGGGGGTAAGTAGAAAATAATACATCCCTTGGAGTAGGGGAGCCTGTCTTTTTTTTTTAATCTTCACTTGAGGACATTTTTGCATGTATCTTCAGATAGACTGGGGGGGGGGGGGGGAGAGATACATCAGTGCAAGAGAGACACATCCAGTGGTTGCCACCCACACGACCCCAACCAGGGCCAGGGACAAACTGCAACCTAAGTACGCACCCTCAGCAGGAACCAAACCTGGGACTCTCCAGGTCCATGGACTGACACTCTAACCACTGAACCAAACTGGCCAGGGTGGGACGCCTGTCTTTTAAATGGTAATGCAGAAAGGTGATGATCTGAGCAAAAAGCTTGAACTTGTGACTTCATTGACTTCGTGCTAAGGTACAGCATGATCTTTCTCACTTGCATTGACTGCTGCATAGTTCCATTTGTTCCTGGGGGATTCTAGGCTGAGTGAAACATTATAATCTCTGAAAAGACAGGCGCCACCTGCTGGCATCCTCCCTCTAAACTTTCTCTCTCACCAACCCCTTTTTCCACTCAGACTCCCAAACCTTTAAAAACCTGGCTTGATAATATTAATAATAATATAAAAGCTAACCTACCTTGTCCTTTCCTCACTGGTTTTTCCCAAAAGGGGAATGAGGAACAGAGAGACAAAAAATTTTCAAATGAAAAAGGCAAGTGGTAGTTTTGTGAGCTGTTTGCAGGGCACTGCTAAGACCATCTGACAGACGGCAATTGTAGGTCAGACCACGAATTGTGGTGACGCATACAGAGCATAACTTTTTTTTTAAGACCACCAATTCTTTTTTAAAGGAAATGATGGAATATAAGCGCAAGACTTGATTTTAAACAAATGATCAGTCCTTATATTAAGTGGACCTAATCAATACAGCTTGCTTTACCTTCTACAAATTACTAAAGAGGGAGGAACGTGTTCATCTTTGCAACTACCTCCTCATATTCCAAAATCTAGAGAAGTACTTTGTATGTAGTAAGTATGCAATGAACATAAGTAATTAAGCATTCTACAGTAGACCAAGTGTTCTACAGGTTGTCATTTGTTGATATAGCTTTCAAAGGATGTTCCTGAATAAAGGGGTTTTTCCATAAAATAGAGATTACTTGACCTTTGAAACTGATCTCAATTATTTCTAAATATTCAAGAAACTCAACAAACCATTTTTTCTTATTGTTTTGCTTCTTCATTTTTTTTCCCCAATAAGGTAGACATCTCTGTTTTGTTTAGTACCTTTTTTACTTCTGAAAACACCACTCTCTTCTTTTCTCACCCTCTTGACTCTCTATATATAGTCATCTGGGAACAGTCATGTTACATTAACCAAACTGGCTGTCTTGGTTAGCCCAGAAGTGGACTTCTGACACAGCACCCATAGAATCCTGATGGTGTTCAGACCCTATATTCTGACCATTCCTGACACATATCGTCCATTGGTATGTGATATCCGATATATTTATAAAATATTTTGATGTTTGCTTAAGTCCATTTTATTTGGTTTTCTGTCAATGCAACCAAGAGTTCTAAATAATATATTCAATTTCCCATATTTTTATCTTTATTCTCCCTTGTTTTCCTGTATAGCCTCATTTTTGGATAGTCCAAAAGTAGTCTTTTATAAACTATTTGGATGATGGCAGCAGATTTTTTAAAGCTTTGTCTTTATATCTTTTTTTTTCTTTATTGATATTAGAGAGAGAGGGGAAGGGAGAAGAGAGAGAGAGAAACATCAATGAGAGAGAACATCAATTGGCTGCCTCCTGCATGCCCCTCACTGGGGGTCAGGCTCACAACCTGGGCATGTGCCCCAGCTGGGAATCAATCTTACGACTTCTTGGTGCATGGGTCGATGATCAACCACTGATCCACACCGGCTGGGCTGTCTTTATACTTTTTAATCATTTCACAAAGTTAATGGAATTCAAATTTTGGGAAAATGGAAATATTCTCAGCTTAAAATATTGGCTATTAGGAGAAAAGTGATCAATTTCATTAACAAATGAAAGCATTTAGAAACCATTAAAAAAAAATTATTATGATCAGAAAAGATACCAGATCATCAACTCTTCTACATTTAAGACCCAAATCTTTTTTCTTACCTGAAAAATGGAGCTGTGGACAAATTTATAAGAACCAAACTTATTAAGATTGATAGACAGATTTGAGCATAGTTATTCAGCCCATACCACCTTCTCAAAAAATCACTGAGAATTCTCTGTTGGTCGGAACTCAAAGCGTTTGCTGAGAGGTGGGCATGGTCAGCCATTTGTGTCCTTTATGGTCCTGACTGCCCTCTCCAGTCACAGCCAAGTGGACAAGAGGAGCTGACACAGGTCCAGTCATCCCAAGGCAGATAAATTCATCTATCAGACTCCCTGAAAATATAAGCAAAAACACACTGAGATCATAGTCAAATAACAACAGGCATTTGACCTCAAAAGCAGGCAGAATCAAGACTTATTCACATTTCACCTTGACATTCTCCAACTTCTCCACATTAGTTTCCCCTTTCCTAAAAAAGGAGCAAGAATATTCCCTATTACTCCCTCCACATGCTCTTAGTACTGTATCTGTAAATGATCAGTGTATATAATATTCATTAGCTTTTAAGCACATCAAGGGCAGAGGGCCTTTTGTTTTTTTAACACACTGCTTAGAAGATTCAATTGATAAAGTTGTTTGACTGAGATATTTGTATACTGTAAGGCAACTAATGACACCAACATAAATTTTTCATTTCACAACAATATTATTGTGGATATATTTAAGAAATATTTCTAGCATTCTATAACACTAATCTGAACCAGCTGATTGGTGACAAAGTGACCCAGAAAAAATGAGAAAAATTAGGACAAGTTTGAGTTTTTCATAAAGCTGAATGCATTCTATTTCAATAATTGTATGTAAGTTTACAACTGTGGCTTTCCTATATTTTTTCCAGTGGAAAAAATAATAAAACAATGGCCATAGTAAGTTCTATTGTCTGTTAGTATTGTTATTTTTAAAGAAATAAAAAGTAGGCTACTAGAGTCAGCTCCCAAATTAATTATTTTAATGTGACTTATCTGTAAAATCAAAAAGCTTAGGAACTCATTGCTTAGATTCTTGGTTTTCTTAATAGGGAGTTAGTCACACTTCAGTTACTTGCCTTCAAGCGCTTTCTCATTCTTTGCCAGCACCAACTGTAACTTAATGCAGTGCCTACGAATTTTGAGAGAGTGTATGATTTGCTTGCGTCTCCACTCCCACCGTCTTTCTATTTCCTTGGCATTCTCATTCCATGGTTTATCACAAGTCTGAAAAGAGGATGTTGGTGCCTTTGACTTTTGAAAATTTTCACAGCATATTATTGTCACGACCCAGCTTTTTTGCCCTCTCCACCCCAACCTTCCTCCAACAAAATTCTTCCCCTCACAGAGGCTCATTTTTACTTCTCATGAAACAAATTAGCCGCCACTACTACCATATGGCCAGGCCCTGTTCTGCTCTTTCCCTGTTCTCTCTCTCCAGATTAACATGGAGCTCTAGCTCCTAGATCAGGGAGGCATT